GAGAGAGAGAGAGAGAGAGAGAGAGAGAGAGAGAGAGAGAAGGAGGGAGAGGAGAGGAAGAGAAAGAAAGAGCGAAAGAAAGAGAGGGAGAAGAAAAGGGCAACAGTGGGGCGGGAGAGAAAGGAGAGACCCGTGTAAACGATAAATCACGATAAATACGTTTGCCTGGGCCATTATAAAAGGCAGGGGAGGCAAGGGAGGAATCGGCGCGATCGGCGAGGAGGAGGCCAACGAGGAGGTACACAAAAGAGTGCAGCAGTGCACGGCCCGATATGCAGTCCCTCCCTGGGGCCACTCCTGGGTGCATCCTCTTCTGCGGCCGCGCATTACGATCGCTTAAGTCTCGGCTCGACTATCGAGTGATCCATCGCCTACGAATTCGACGAAGCCTCCCGCCTACCCTCGGGACATCCTCAACTAATGAGCGTGTCTCGATCGTGAACGACCGGTCTTCTCTCCACTATCTTCGTTCCCGCCTCGTCCTCATCTCGCTTCCTCGCGCGCACCGTATGTTTATCTCTCTCCTTCTCGCGCTCTTGCCTTCTTCACTTCCAGGTGCGCTCAGCGTTCCTTCTTAAAAAGGATTCCAATTAAGAGGGCCCGGAATGAGTTCGTGCGTCCTATTCATGGGCAGCATGTTCGCCGCCCGACTTATAACGGGGACGACAGGTGGACCAGTGAAATCCTTCGGTAAGACCCAAGAGACTCGGCGACAAGATTGTCGGGACCAAGTTTCACTGCCGAAACTTGCGGAGGACCCCCAGCTCCATCGGGCGACGAGAGCCGCCGTCCACGAGCGTCGAAGGAGATCGCAGTTAGTGTGTGTCAACAAGACAACGTTTATTCTGCAAATGCACGTTGGAGAGTCTTCTACCGTAATTGGCGAGCGGCCGAGTGGTATTATATATTTACATCGCCAATACCGCACCGTCGAGATGCAAATTCCGCGAATTTCACTCGCGCGACACGCCGCGCCGCGCCGAACATGCGGTTCTACTGGGCGATGTCTATCGGCTAGGTGGGAAAGTGTGGTGGTTTCAGTACATTCCTGAGAAGCTGTTTGTTCACATATGCCACCGATGTGTGGTTAGTGCGTGGCGCGAGGCGATGGAAGATAGGGAAGAAAAGAGACGAAAGAGCGAGTAGGCAGATACCGGGCCCCGCGGGGGGCTCATAATTGCCGACCCTGAAGATCGGTCGACCCCATGGGGCCCTCCTCTGTTTGTTTTATTCCCTAGTTATACAAACGCGAGATCTACGACCGATATATGATAATCGTCCTTCTAGTTCTTCCAGTTTGCCTTTCTCTCCTTTACTCTCTCTCTCTCCCTCTCTCCTTTTCTCTCTCTCTCTCTCTCTCTCTATCGACTCCTCCTCGTGCTCCCTTATTTCGGTTTCCTTTTTTTCGACTTTCGTTTTTTATTGTGTAAACTTCATGAATGTAGGGTGCCTTATGGACACTGATAGACAAGGGACACGTCCGAACTAATTCTAGCCAGAATCTACTTCCACCAGCGGTGCCGTGGAAGCTTTCGCCACGTCTCATCATTTATGGCGCGCACTTATTCAAATTCTACGCCGGTTGAAGTGATTGATACTCTTCGTTATGAGCGGCTACCTTAGGCTCTCGCACTCGTCAGTTTAAGAGAGAACAACGTAAAATATTATCCCAAACGTTTCATATGTAAATAGTGGGCGTCGCTATTACCGCGCACGGTTTTAATGCACGTGTTGATAAAGATATGCTATCGATAGATGGCAAAAAAGAGTTGAGAAAGAATGAACGAAAAGTCCCAAGTCGAAAAAACTCCGTTCATTTTTATATAGGTTTTGAGCTATTTGAATAAAAAGATAAGTCATATGAGGAATCGTAGAATATGAAGAGAGAATTCAAACTTTATAAGTGCTAACGACTAAAACATCCTCCTAAAACACCGTGATAGAATCTTATCAATGTGATGTATGAAGTACATTAATTTTTCTATCTATACTTAGTAGATTTTTTCAATTTATCGATAAACTGTTATTTTTATAGTAGAAAATTTATTCTAAATTCGTCTTTTTAGTCTTTCCCCAATCTCAATATTTATTTCTGCATCCAAAACACCTCCTCGTAATAACAAGAAAATGTTGAATATTTTTAAAACTAGAATACAATCTAGATCATAGAATACATATTAGTAAAAAACACTATATTTATATTATAGGAGAACCTAATTATGAAGAAAAAAAGCGCTGTCAAAGATTAATGCATATGTAAGAATAATGCCCGAACTTCAAATTGCTATGCTCATATTATGTATGACCCTCATTCGGTATCTACACACAGAAAAATATCATTTTCTACTGTTAAGAAAGTCAATTATCTTTCTTTTCTTTTAACTGTGTATGTAACAGTTCTGTTCTACTAGAAATATTTTCTTAATAATAATTTTAAAATATGCTCATTTCAGAAAAGTTTACTATCATATTATTATTATCATATATTCAAAAAAAAAAATATATTCTTTTTACAAAAATATTATAAGATTTTATTGAAAAAGAAATGTGTTTATATAGTAAGTAAATCGAATTTATGTTTTAATTTAATATTCTTGAATGAAATATTAAATTTATTAGAATTCAGAATGTGTTTTGAATAAATTTAATGTTTATGATGAATTTATAATAGATTAGAGTATATATAAACGTATGAAATACTTGAATCAAGTAACATTTATTTGAAAACAGTATATATTTTTCTGTATGTAGAATAGACCAAATATTTTACCGAAAATACACGAATATCTTTTGAGAATGTGACATATTTTTTAGTTTCGACGTTTCTAATGGTGAACTATCGAACAAGTAGGATGATATATTTAAAAGATCAGGACTACTTTTCGTTGCGATTCGAGGATCTAAAACTATTTAATTTTTGATACTTTTATTATATATTATTTACAAAAAAATGGTATACAATTTATGATTGTATTCAGATAGCTCAAAATGGGCGATATTCTTTCGGTTTACTATTAATTTTACAAATATAGTGCTTTAAGAATCAATAAGGAGAACCTGGAGATGTAACACTATATATTATATACTATACGTTATTGTCCTACCTTGATGCTGCAAAAATGGTCGAATTTTAAATAATTAAATAAGTTTTTATGTGTTTAAAAATAATCGACGTCAAAACGTTTCTTTTAATCGACTTCAAAAATAAATTTTTAATAGATAATTAAAAAATACAAAGTAAAAACTTGAAAGAAAATAAATCGCCTTCAAGAACTTCGAAAAGTATGAAAAAATTTTAACTCAATATTTCTATGTTCTTTCTTTTCAACTATTATAATTAGTTATTTGAAGTGAACGCGAAAATCTAATCGCCTGAGTCAATAATTATACGCTTTCATTATTTATCTTCTTGTAGTTATACTCAGTAAGCAAGAAATGTTATATCTACTTTTTGAAATATTACATTGATATTATTCATGAAAAATTGATATTTTTGTAACGTTTCTACATAATATTTTATGAATCTTTTTAAAATATTTTTTTAAAGCCGGTTTTGAAACGGCAGTAAATATGTATCTACGGTGTTAACGTAAAATTGAACTTTTTATTTGGAATAAATGTGATTTTTAGCCAGAATAATGTAATTAACACGTATCATAGAATCGATGTTTATTATTCTAAAGGCGTTTCAATAGTGTAATATACCTCAGAAAACATTAATATATAAAGTTGTTTTCAGTCTTTTACGCAACGACACCGACTTTCAGAGAAAAACAGTGTTATCGCCAAGGCAACCTCCTGACTATATTTCAAAAAGATAACACTACGAACATAACAGCTTGTCCCAAATACATGTATTTCGTTTTAACGAGGAAAGAAAACGAAGAAAAATAATTATTAAAGATAAACAAGGCATAATATTTCGCAGAAGGACATGTGCTAAGGAAATATATGTGCATATATGTATATCGTAATATAGATCGAGTGTAATGTGCATGTTTCTCGTGTGCCTTCTCTTTTCCATTCAAAGCACCACTTACCTCATCGTCGATCTTCTTGAACTCCGGGTCGTCCTCGTCCACCTCAAAGTACAGCTCCGTGGATGTAACCGATATAATGCCGGGTGCCACGATACCAGGTGCGATCAATTTGCCTTTGGTGCTGATGTTCACCGGACCTGACGATAAAATAGAAAGAAACGATTTAGGTTAGATTTAGGTTAGATTCAGGTTAGGCAAAGATTTAGGTTAGATTGTCGCGTGCAAACAATAACAATAGTGAAGTGGTCGATAACATCACACCGGAGATGTATACTAAGGTGACCAGACGTCCCGATTTTTCACCCTTTGTCCCGAATTTTTTCAAGTGCTATTCAGGACACCGATTTGTCATCATTTTCAATAATTGTCAAATAATTTTCGGATCTTTTTACCTCCCGCCCCCCGTTTCACACATTTATGAAGTGTTCCGAATTCAGGGCTGGAAATCTGGTTACCTTACATATACCTTGAGGAGAAACGAGAAGATTATTTACAAATAACGTCTTCACGATACACCCCGGCGATCGCACATCGCTATTCTCGACACTCCCGAGACTTATTAACGCGCGAGACTAACTTTCGAAGGATAAAAGATGTGAGAAACGCGGAGCGATGTAGATCGATGTGTGCCCATGTTTGCTATTTGGCGCGAAAAGATCGAGTATTTCCCGCGATTCGTTACCAACCTAGATTGAATAACCACGATGACAACCTCGTAGTGCAAAACGAACGCGATTGGTCTAGAGTGGTTAGTAAGAGGCTGAGCACAATAAAAGGAATATGGAATAGAGAATCGAGAATAGAGAATAAGGAACAGTTCAATATTAAAATATGAAATCTAATTCATCAACGCAGAATAGAGGAATAGAGGAATAGCGTTATTTCTTGTTTTCAGTATTCCTTATTCCTTATTCTCTGTTCCCTGTTCCTTATTCCTTTCATTGTACTCAGCCCCTTACTCGAGCAAGTGGTTAAGAGCCAACGCGCAAGCACATCCGTAACATGTTACGTTACGTTAAGTACTGACAATGCAATGGCCATACCTGTACGTAAAATTAAACTTAAGTCAACGCACAAAGAAATCCGTAAACTTAACATGTTACGGTTGTTCTTGTGCGGAGGCTGTAAGGTGTCCTCCGTATAAGGGCTCGATTCTTGACGGTATGCGAATGACATACACATACCAAAATGTATAATTCACGTTACGTATATTGTAGATTTTCGCATGCATATTTCAGTTTGCACACCGTCAAGAATCGGGTCCTAAATCACGTCGTTGTAGACGCGCAACCTCGTTCGCATCACTGGTGCGTTCACATTCATGCACTTTTGGCACTTTTGGCGCGCCAATGAACTTTTAGTGTACGTGATTGACAGCGCGCGCGCTGCGAACTTTTCATACCGAGTAATTGCCATGGACATAACACTACGACGTATTCCATATGTCATTCGCTTGTGTCCTATGAGTCTCCGGAAATAAGTATTAGAGTGCCGAAAATAACGACGTGCGGTCATATCGTAAGTACATTATTACGGAGTAATCTCCTCCCTTCTCGACACATACAGCTAAGGTGATCAGACGATTTTTCACCCTTTGTCCTGAATGTTTTCGAGTGCTATTCGGGACACTGATTTGTCACCATTTTCAATGATTTTCAAATAATTTTCGGATCCTTTTATCCCCCTCCATCCGCCCTCCACTTCACGCATTTATGAAGTGTCCCGAATTCAGGGCTGGAAAATCTGGTCACCTTATGTATACGGCACCATGTAGAAATGGAAAATGAATTTCTGCGGTTCTCCAAATAACAAGTAACATTTGACGAGCACGTCATTAAAATAACAAATTCGTCGAAATTGCCGCGCAAAAGTGATGAAACAAAAACCGGTTCGCGTTGGAGCGTAATATGTCATTAACGTGTCGCGTCTCGTTTATCAGAAACGCGACGTCGACCAACCTGCCAGGTCGTTGTCGAGGTCCCTGTCGTCCGACAGCAATTCGCTGTCATCCAGAAGATCCGTCGACTGCAATTGCTGTTGGTGTGCACGCGAGGCTGCGAGGTGCGCGTGAAACTCTTGACGCGCTTGAAGTATCGCATCCTCGGGTGCACCGTGTTCTAGAGCCGCCTTGAGAGTAGCCTCGGGGTGGCTCGAGCCTAGTGGATTGTGCACGAAACGCTTGCGTCTACGTGCATCATCCTCCCAAGCATCCAGCTTCCAATATTCGGCCAATCTGCGCACAGCGAAAATGCATCGAGATGTAGAGAACAGCGACTGAATTATTTGCTTGTTCGCTTTTTTTTTTTTTCATGCGATCTAACTGATGCGTTTGCATTTACTTTGCAGCCATTGGATCCATGTATCCCCAGGCGCCGTGCTTGTTGGACAAGATGTTCCGGACTTTCTCCAACAGTCTGCTGGCGATCACGTTGTCGCGTCTCCGTGCGGCGGTGATCAAATGATCGCACATGCGCTCCTCTTCCCGTCGATCCAGCAACGTTTGCGCGCACTGAGACTGAATAACACGACAGTATAGTTATTGTTGGATAACTTTTTCGTCAGAGTCGTTAATAACGTTGTGCTTATGTTTAAAAGAAAATCGTCGCGCTGAAGGCGCTTATGAGGCGCTCTCGCGACGACTTTCCGACGACGACAAAAACTGGTCGTGTCTGTTTACAGAGCAATTAAATAGCGAGGAGAAACGCAAGCGATACCTCAAAGTCAGCATGCTTCAGCACGTCATCCGCTCTCATCCTGTTCAAAATGAACTCTGCCTCATTTGCGACTCTTACTATGTGATCCTTCATCGCGTGAGATAGCAACCTGTGCAACGTGAGGAAACGATTTTCATGTAGGGAAACGAGAACATTCGATTTCGTTTTGTTGGCGTGCACGCGTCCTAACCGTAATAAACGTCTTACCTTCCCTCGTTAATGAGCTCGATGAAAGCGAGACCCGCGTGCTTCTGCAGAGAGTTTTGCCATTCCTGAGAGCAGAGAAGCATAACCAGCTCCACGACGGAATTGCTGTTCTTGAACGTTGTCAAACCTGGCAAATTACAGGACGAGACGCCGTTAAACGAATAAACGATAAAAGCACGGATAACAATGAACGATAAAAGAAAGATACGCGAAATGAAAACGGACGTCGTCGTGATTTACAAAGGTCGTTCGATGTATCGGGTGTTGTTAAAAATAAAGCACGTCGACACGTCGCGGGACCATCAGCCGCCACGTTCCTTGAATTTAAAATCTGAGGGGAACGGTTTTTACACGCATGTTGAATACTAATGGTGAGCGATTACTCGGAATACGCTTGCCATCTTCTTAAAGCGAAATCATAAAATGACTAATTTGAATATTCGGTGTGAGATGGCAGAGAGGAGGAAAGATAAAGAAGACAGAAAGGAAGAGAGAGAAAGACAGTCAGGATATAAAAGTGACGACAGTCTCATCGAGTGTGTTCACGGAGATTATTTTCGATTTTTGTTTATCGCAGGAGCATATCTAAATGTATAATTTTAAATATTACACAGGCAATAGTCGAATTCTTATCTTTACGATTTCCCTTTTTTATCTTTTAACGACGGCATAATACATTAAGTAGCTAGACTTTACTATTATTTTTTTCTAATAACAGGCCGCTTGGACACGTTTATGTCGACGCGAAAATATTACATCTGCACCAGGATAGTCGAATTTCAGTTGCTCGATGTGCTTTATGACCCTTTTCAATCTGTGAACGTGATATATCTCGATGTCGCTTCGAAAAACGTGAAGCGCGTTACGACTGTTGCCCGTTGTAATAAAATTCAACGTGAGATATATCCTTTTTATCTAACTGGATTCGAACATTCTAAATCATACTGTATAAAACTCATAAAACGTATTACTCATAAAACGTAGAGAATGTGAAAGCTGCGAAATAATACTCCGTTACATCTAATTTTAAGATTTAGCGTTGGTATAACCATGTTATAGTGCGTCTTTACAGAACGACTTATATAGTTCAATAAGATGTCCAGGTAATACTTTTCCGTTTGCTCGGAGCAAGACATGCACACATTAAACACACAGAAAAGTAACTATACATTCGACATACCCTTGCAACTCGTACCTTTTCCTTCCATTAACAATTCTTGACCATGAGAGCCAACGAGTGTTTTGGATAGAAATGGGGCAAAGTCCACCATAATTTCCCGAAGAAGAGGACAAACCGAACCCAAGGCCATTTCCAGCTTTTGTGTGAGAGAGGCTTCACGCGAAGGTGTCGGTACTGGTAAATGATCAACCAGACCTTTGATTGGTAATTCGTCGGCCCTCGGTGATGCAGCGGTCACCACCAACCGATCAGGTACTCGTACCACTGAAATCTCGGCGGACGGTTTCTCTCCGCGTTCCGCATTACTGAGCATCTCTTGCTCCAAAACATTGCCTTCGCTGTCTTGCATGTCGCCTGCGTTTCGAAACATACGTCTGACTTTGCACAAAGCATTCACACTAATACACTATAAAAAAAAGTTTAACCGGAACAAGAAGAAACTCGAGAGAATCGAGTTGAGCGAACTCGACTACGCCACGGATAAAAATAATTTGCTGCAGCAGCAAACTAATTTGCTACATATGGACAGTTAAATATAATTCGCTGTGTTAGCTACGTTTTCTTTGCTGCAGGAACCTATTTTCTTGCTATGAGAACAAGAAAATCTGCTCCTACAGCAAGAAAAATGGCTAACATAGTAAATTTGTAATGGACAACTAAATATAATTTACTTCTTTAGCTACTTTTTTGTTGCAAGAGCAGATTTTCTTGTTATCATAGCAAGGAAATTGTAGTAAAGAGCTAGTAAAGAGTAGTAGTAGCTCCTGTAATAAAGAAAAAGTGGCTAATATAACAAATTATATTTAGTTGTCCATATGTAACAGATCCCTTTTTTCCGTGTGGGAGTTATATATGACGGATTAATCGATTTAATTCTTTCAGCATTATTTTTATGTTTTTGTAATATCTTATTTGAATCAAACGAACTAAGCATTCAATAAAATTCAATAAAATCATATAAAGTTTCAAGTAGCGAAGCTTGCTCGCTGTTATATCTCTCCGCGATGAAAATTTATCTGCGAGCAAGCAAAGTAACCAACGCAACCTATCGATGGCCCCTGATTGTAAGTCTTACATCTGAACTCTGCATATTATAACTTATTTAATAATCTTGAGAACCTAGTAATATCTGATAATAATTTCTTCTACTTGAACAAAACTTGTAAACGTCCAATTATCAAAAATATTATTTCAACATACTTATCGTCTAATTTATTTAATCTTTCATCTATCAGATAAAATTACATATATTATGCAGTTAGAGCTCAACCATTTCCGTTAGCTAAAAGAATACTTATAGTATCTATATAATTATACTTCTCAGTTTCTATTAACTTCTCACTTTCTCCTCAGTTTTTACTTTTAACTAAATTTTTTGAAATTCTAATTTCAATAATAGATTATTAAACAGACTTAATTTGTATTCAATTTTGATCGCAGTGATCGAAATGTAACCTTTGCTCAACCCAGAGAATTGGTTCGTTTTACCAGATCTTTTTTTTCATTATATATTTTAACGTTTCGTTATATGTAAATAAAAATATGAAGAATCATCTGTCAGGAGGTCATTTTTACAAAATTAATAATCCCATACAGCACAAGTCTTCAAAGAACTAAGGATGTTCTAAGGACATTCATAGAACTATTCTAAGATATTCTAAGAACCATTCTAAGTCCCAGTTTGTGCTGTCTAGGAATGTGGTCAGCAGAAAGTTCAATCATTGGGAATTTTTCGAAGCGCTTAATTGTGTATAGCTACATTGTAAATTATATTATTTAATTTCATTCAATTGCAATAGATATAACCCTAAGTTTACTTAATCTGGGAACTTAATTAGTTTTACTTGATTTTTTTTCAGCGTTATAGCAATGTTTTTTTCACTTACTAAAAGAATCAAATAGTTATATTTTCATTTCAAATAGAAATATTTTTAATAAACCCTTCATTTGCTTCCCTGTTTTTAATGCGATTTGCTCCGCGTGGACAGTGCCACTTTTTTCCCCATGTATAATAATATAAAAAAATCAAGACAAAATTTTTTCTTATTATTTTAGCTCTCTTCCTAGTTAGAACATTGTTTAGTCCTCAATTTTCAATAACTTCTTTTTAGCAAAATCCATAACAGATAATTGAACTTTTAACTATTCCAAAAATAATCCACGAAACAGAAAGTTCAATTGAAATAATTGAAACGGTGAAAAATGGCCTTTTGATATTTTTAATATTAACGAGAACTTGTCGATTAATCAGTATCTTACCACGCGAGTGAGCGATATTGTGGATATTACGTGGATCCTCCCTCGGATTCGTAATCGGCATTGTGTCGCCATCCTCGTTAAGGTTTACGTCGGTCCAGGCTTCCTCGGACGAGTTGTGTTTATTTTCGTTGTCGGTGGTAACTTCAGAAGGACTTGGGTCCGCGGTGATATTGCTGCGGTGTACAGTCTCCTCGCTGGAGTCATTGCTCTGGGAGAAAGTCGATCAAAGAGAAAGAAAAAGATAGAACACATTCAAAAGTTGCGATGTTTGTTTAGCTTAAACCGACCGTGAAATGAGATTAGTATTACGTGTATGATTAACGTACGATTTACGAATTTTTCGTTAAGCGCATCGTTCAAATTTGTCGGTTCGACCTTCTGGACGTTTGTGTTAACTATTACGCAAAGCTATTCGGATACATTTTTCAGGCTTCAGGAACACTATATTACTACATAGTACTCTGAATTCATCTGTTACTAACGGAAAAAAGTACCTAGCTATATTTTATACCATACAAACGTTTCATAATTTCATACGGTCATACTTTACGACTCTCGCGTGCCATGTACTTACTTCCTTACATGCAATTAGTAGTATACACCACTACTATGCAATCAACTAATGTGTCATAGAAAGAGAAAGAACCAAGCCTCTTATGTATTCAAGCCCCGACAGCGAACTTAGTGATTCTACGTAGAATATGACCAAGTGATTGTACGCGTGTGTAAGAACCGCTACGTATATTACATTACGGCAACATTACGTAAGCGTTGAAGAGAGGATGTAAGTCGAACATAATCGCTTGCTCTTTCCCGCACCCGTCAAATGGGCATTGCTGCGCGTTACCGTTGTATTATTCTCTCTTTCCTCTGTCGTTATTCTTTCGTCACACGAAAATCGAAATGTAAGAAAGTCTCAAGAAACATTTCCAATAAACTCGGCTAATGATCGTGTTAGCAACGCGGGAATCGGATTCTCCGCTCAATGTCTCATCCGGACTGGTTACTGATCTGTTACTCTGATTAAGTTTTACCTGCAGATTTCGTGGCAGTGGTTCGGACCTTGTAGAAGTGCCAAGCGTTGGTTCTGTTAAGGTGTAATCCTCAAGAATAGTCCGCGGCCGAGGTACACCACTGTGACCTCCCTTCAGAACCAGTAGTTAGTACGCATAGCAATGCAAGCAGAGGAAGTTAACAATGAGAAAAATTCAAGAGTCAAACTCTCGCATGCTCAATAAGGGTTACAAGTAAGGTTAAATACACGGCGATTCGAGTTTCGAAGGTGCGTATTTATGTGCGAGACGAAACCTCGCGACTAATTGGTCAGTTCAGTAATGCCGAATCTCAATGTCCGCAATGTGAAGTATACACAGGGTTGTGCCGTAGATTTTAAAATTACGTCTACGAAAATTGTTTACGCGATCTATACACAGCTCTTTGTCATGTAGACAATGAGATAATTAGTTATTAGTAACTATGCAAACTATGTAGAATATTTTGTAAATAATGCAAAATTTGTTAATATATGCAAAAAAATTTATTAAATTATGGAACAGTTTTCGCATCTGTTTTGGATATCAATTTAAAAAAAAAGCAAAAGTAAATAAGACTTTTTGGCACTTTAATAGCGAGTGGAAAAGTTAATCACGTACAATGTATTTTTTTGGTCTGAACTAATAAACTATAAGGTTATTTAAAAGAAATAAAATTGTATGTGATCTTTTCATTGTTTTTTTAAAAGAATCTAAGAAATAAGTTATTTCATTTAAAAAATCATAATTTTTGTAAGTTACAAATAATCCTGGAATTTAACGTTTAAGACCATAACAATTAATCAGAAAATAATTTATTATATTATTTTAAAGAAAGTCGAATTATTTCGTGATGTAAAAATGGTATTTTTGGATAAGAAAATAAACTTAAATAACACGAAAGTTAACATACCTTATATTATATTAATTTTTTTGGAGTACATATGAAGTTTTAGAAATTTCAGGATAAAGAGGAAAGCTATTAAAAGTTATTAAGAGTATCTGGACACGAATGACTACCCTATTCACTTTAAGGTTTAATTATAAAATAATATTCCATGTCGATCAGTCGCAGAGGATAGATATATGTATTTCTGTTTTGTTTGGCTATCATGTTGCTCCTCATTTTAAATCTAACGAATTATTAACGTAGGCAGTATGAAAGCTGAAGTCTGTGTAATGGCTCTTTTACGAGTGTATGAAGTTGGCACCCCACTTTTTGAAATTTATAATTTTGAAAGTTGTTCCAGATTGTTCTGACTTTGTACCACATTGTTCCAAAGTGATATTGCTTCATTCGAAACGGTTTTCGAATAAAACAAAAAAAAATGATTTTTTGAGCTGGCACCCCACTTTTCGAAAATCGGACATTCTGATACCGCAATAGATTGTTCTAGTTGTTCCAAACATTGTTCCAAAAGGACAAATCCGTAAGTTGAATTATAAGTCCAAAAAATGAAAAAAATATTTTTGACCTGGCACCCCATTTTTTAAAAATAAAGCATTCCGATACCGATATAGATTGTTCTAGTTGTTCCAAACATTGTTCCAAAAGCACAAATCAATAAGTTTAATTATAAGCCCGAAAAATTAAAAAAAAGTTTTTTGTCAAACAGTCTATCGGACCAAGAGTAAACTTATACTATCTTTTTTGTTCCAACCGAGATCTTTTTGTTCTGAGTTGTTCTAGGCTTAAGAATTATAGTTTTAGAGTATGAGACTCATAAGATCATTCGTTCTCCGAAAATTCGTAAAAAAATCGATTTAACAGTACTCGATGTCAAGAGTAAATACATGCTTCCTTTCTTGTTCCAACTGAGATTTTTTTGTTCTGAGTTGTTCTAGGCTTAAGAATTATAGTTTTAGAGTATGAGACTTGAGAATAATATTACTTTGGAACAATGTGGTACAAAGTCAGAACAATCTGGAACAACTTTCAAAATTATAAATTTCAAAAAGTGGGATGCCAACTTCATACACTCCTCTTTTACTCATGTCAAATCAGTCGTATGTGACTGGCCAGCAACACTCAATTCAGTCAAGTCAGTTCGTGCTGTGTATATGAAATTTCCTGGATCTTTTTCTGAGTGATTAATTGATAATAACATGCTCCAGAATATTAAAGACCTGTTTTGTTCATAATTTAATAAATTTCAATAAAAGATCTGTGAAATGTATTTGACTGATATGGATAAAATGAAATCCGACATCGAGCAAGTCTCTGCAAAGAACTGTATTGGAATATAAAGTCTCTTTGAAGTTGCATGTTTCTTTTAATCGTAAACACAAGAAACAAATGAATTTTAACAAAAAAAAAAATAGTAAATAGGAAAAAAGATTCCGAAATTTGATATTGTTATATCTGGAGTTGCAAGAATAATCATTTTTCAACGATACATTAATTAGTTGTAGTTTAAAGTCAGAAAATAATAAATTTAAAGGATTTCTCACTTTAAATAGAACATAAACGTTAAAAACAGCAAGATCAATTAAGTGAAAGGCTATAAAATATGTTATAAACAATGACTATAAAATAAGCGAACGCGATCTTGAAATTGGACAATCACAAATATAGAGATAAATAACGATATACAGCCTTACATCCTGAATAAAACGATACCTTAATCACTGAAAAATGTTAGCCTGTTGTCGAGATATTCAAGTTACTAAATATAGTACGCCCGTCCTGAACCGGTTAAACGACATTCATAGATTACACATTGTCTACATGGATGACATCTCACACATGGTTTACGTTGTCTACACGTAGACGTATCATAATTTACACATAAACGTTCAACTCTGGGTATACGTATCACGTGCGAAAGATATAATTACGAGATAATTATTACGAGAGGATATAATCGAGATATAGTGGTCATTACGTTGGGGCTACGTAGATGCAAGACACCAATCGATAAGTGAACACTACATGCTTGGCATTGCAAAAAATGTTTAACTACGGCAGAGGTTTCGAGAAGTTATGATACATTATAATTGTATATTGAGGAGGTTCGTGAATAATGAATATGTACTACATTTGAGACTCGTATAATTGACGGACAGCGTAAGGAAATATCACAATTGCACGATTGTGCTGTAATTGAACGTAAACATCGAGAGGTGAACGTTGAATTTACCTTATCCAGTCTTAATGAACGTGAATCTAACATAGCTATCTTCAAGTTGATATGTTGTAATGATACAGTATATGCATGAATATTTCGATGGGAAGATCTTTTCTAGCTTATCGCTGAAGTAACGAATGATAATGTGTGATAAACTAGTGCGAAGCAGTATGCGATGGCACCAGTATATCTGGTCATGGTTACGGTGAATATCCTGTATAAGATAGTGCGTGATGGAGAGGTGCTAGAATCTCGCTGCTATCAATGTCACTTGAAACTATCGAGCATAAACGTAAAGGTACTCAGGACAGAGTATCGAAGACGTACAATTGAACGTTTAGAAAGACACGCAGATCGTACTCGCTACGTAGAGTTGTGTAAAGCGACAGATTGAAACATCGAGTCCTGTGTCTACGTTCTCGATCTATCGAAAGTGCATGCAAGTTGTCTCAAGTAAAATCGTCATAACTTCATAGAGAACCAGAAGTATGGTTTCGTATCGATCGAACTGACGCAAGCATATAAAACTATGTGTGAAGCTAGAACACATCAACTTGTGCATGAGAACAACCGGCATTTTGCAAACAACCACGTACAATTTTGAGATATCGATGAAAAAAGATTGACGAATCAGAGCGCGCAATATTGGGATAGATTCTATAAGCATAAGATTTTATCAAAAACTGCTGAAACACGATTGCCCTTCAGCGTGATCAGCTAACAGCTGAAGGCGGAATAAAAATACGAGCAGCGCGCAAACAATTGTTTTTCGACGTAATACGAACGTGTCGTGCGTATGTTGCTAAGAAACAGTCGCCTTTCAGTTATTTTCGATAATATCTCGTGCTAACAGAATTTGTTTTACAATGTCGCATGCTCTAGTTCGCCAATCTTCTTTTTTAATATCTTAAAATTTTACGTGGTTGTTTGCGCAATGCCAAAAGTCCTCGTTCTCGTTGAGTGTTCTATCTTCACACGTGGTTTTATAAATGTGTATATATATATATATATATATATATATATATATATATATATGTGTGTGTGTATATATATATATATATATATATATATATATATATATATGTGTGTGTGTGTGTGTCGTCTCTATTGAATCGAGTTCCGTACGTGACGGAATTTACAAGACTTTTACCTGAGATTCTCGGTTCAATTATTCTTGGTGTACACTTCTTTCGAATTTGTTCAGTAGGACAAGTGTCTGTCGCACTCTTTTCAGGTTGTATTTCGGAATTTTGGGTAGTCACAAGTTGTGCAAATTGACTTACCTTGGTCGACGGCGGACCGGACGATGTCACATCGTGGTCAGCCAAAATCGAGGAATTGTTTTCGTCGACGATGATGACCTCGTATTCTCCGTCATCTTGGGAACCCGATTGACTCATTATAGCTCCTCCGCTACCTAAGAACACGCGAACGAGACATACAGTATTAAACAATGAAAAATTTGCGACTCTTTCACGCAAAGCCAGTCGATATCCATACACATGCGTTCAACGAATTCAGCAAAGTGGGAGATTCATCTCTTTCTTTTCTTCTTCTTTTTTATACAGTGCATGAAATGACTATTAATACAGTCTTATACTTAGTAGTTTATTGTCGTAATAGGACTGTATAAAATCACACGGTGGATTGCAATGTTCATGTAAGTACAATAAAAATAAAAACACAAACATTCCTTGTAGATCTTCTTACGTAGGGGAGTGTGCAGAATTTTACAAGGACCAAACATAAGACGGAACATTTATACCAGCACTTCTATCGAATAACTCAAAGTGTCACAAGCATAAAATAAGTTGCGCATCATATGCGGCATAACGATCAACATCAATGCAATATGCAATTGTATAGAAATAAAATTCATCTTTTTCAAATACAAAAGAGACTACAATTTCTATCAATTACAGTTTATTATTTTTCATGTAAACAACTATGTGTGTTATCTTCGTTTCATCAGTCATTATTTGACTCTTAGCAAATAATATTTTGCTCATATCTATACGTTTTATGATTTTATCATTAATAAACACACACAGACATAATGTAATAATAAAAATATATACTTAAAGTACATACATAAATAACAAGCAATTAAGGTATTTGTATCATTATACATCTTATTCTCAATGTGTGGCATATTAATATAAGCATATAAATTTTTATATAAATTTATATACATCTTTAAGTATATTTGTATGTATTTATATGTATTTAGAAAACA